GGCATCTACAAGCTGACTGGTGCTGTGATGCATCATGGCAACATGAAATTCAAGCAGAAGCAGCGAGAGGAGCAGGCTGAGCCTGATGGCACTGAGGGTAATTAATAAATGTATTGATATTACACCCTCATATCACATTGCATTACATAACATCAAAAGATGCAATAGCAGGTAAACTGTAATTACAATAGATAATAATAGTACATAAAACCACTCAGATGTGTGAGAAGTAACATGCAGTAGCCATTAGAGCTGGAATGTAATAAGTGCGGAAATGAAAGGGTTACAAGCCATGTCCAAAGAATCAGACAGGCAAATCATACGCAATGCAAAGGGACTACAAGTTACTGTAAACATACAAACATCCATCCATCCATCCATTATCTATACACCGCTTAATCCTCATTAGGGTCGCGGGGGGCTGGAGTCTATCCCAGCCGACTTAGGGCGAAAGCAGGGGACACCCTGGACAGGTCACCAGTCTATCACAGTCTACACTTAGAGACAGACAACCAAGCACACTAGCATACAAACATACTACATAAAATATGATTTACATCTTTATTCTCCTGTGAACAAGGATTTTAATTATGTTGCAGTTTATGTCATAATTTTGATGTAGCTTCATTAAATCTTGAAATATTTTTGTTCTTTTAATCAGAGGCTGATAAGATCGCCTACCTCATGGGTCTGAACTCAGCCGATATGCTGAAAGCTCTGTGCTACCCAAGAGTCAAGGTCGGCAATGAGTTTGTGACTAAAGGTCAGACCGTCCCTCAGGTAATGAAAAAAGAAACTGCTTCACTTAGTGAAATTAAAAAAATATTTTGGATCTTACAGCACTGTCCAGGAGAATAAGTGTATCATTACAATCTCATCCTCTAGGTCAACAATGCTGTCAGCGCTCTGTGCAAGTCTGTCTATGAGAAAATGTTCTTGTGGATGGTCATCCGTATCAATGAGATGCTGGACACAAAGCAGCCAAGACAATTCTTCATTGGAGTGTTGGATATCGCTGGATTTGAGATCTTTGATGTGAGCAGTTGAAAAATCTCTGAGCCAGTTTAAAAATCAAAACTCTTTCACCATGATATTAAACACCTTTCTGTATTTACAGTACAACAGCTTGGAGCAACTCTGCATCAATTTCACCAATGAGAAACTGCAACAGTTCTTCAACCACCACATGTTTGTCCTGGAGCAAGAGGAGTACAAGAAAGAAGGCATTGATTGGGAGTTCATTGACTTTGGTATGGACTTGGCTGCTTGCATTGAGCTTATTGAGAAGGTATGTAAAGAAGGAAATTCTTAATTTGTGCTAAAATGGTTGCTTGTGCTGATTAACTTTTAACATGAAATGTTAATTCTTCTCAGCCAATGGGCATCTTCTCCATCCTTGAAGAGGAGTGCATGTTCCCCAAAGCTACAGACTCTTCTTTCAAGAACAAGCTGCATGATCAGCATCTTGGCAAGACCAAGGCCTTTGAGAAGCCAAAGCCTGGAAAGGGCAAGGCTGAGGCTCACTTCTCCCTGGTTCACTATGCTGGTACAGTGGACTACAATATCACTGGCTGGCTGGACAAGAACAAGGACCCACTGAACGACTCAGTTGTTCAACTGTACCAGAAGTCTGCAAACAAACTGCTGGCCTTCCTGTATGCATCTCATGCCTCAGCTGAGGGTAAGATATCAGAATGAACAGAGACACAAGAATGCTGTACAACATTCTAGTAAAACTATCATATGGATACTGAAGACAAATGTCTACACTGTGGGCAATACCAGATGCTTGTATTAGAGATTTTCTATAAATAACAAATAAGGTTATTCTCGATAATTGGTAAAATTCTGGGAGTGGTTGAAAATGGTTGAACTAAGTGTGTAAGCGATAGAGACCTAATCAGCAAGTGCAGTTTATTGTGACACATGAGGTGCCATGAGGTGATATTCATTGTTTTGGAAAACAGAGGCTGGTGGTGGTGGTGGCGGCAAGAAGGGTGGTGGCAAGAAGAAGGGTGGTTCCTTCCAGACTGTGTCCGCCCTTTTCAGAGTGCGTATATTTTGTATTGTTTCTTTTTTTTTTTTTTTAAATCAAAAACCTCATATTGAAGTCATATTGACCAAATATCCCATGATGCTGATCCACAGGAGAACTTGGGCAAGCTGATGACCAACTTGAGGAGCACTCATCCTCACTTTGTGCGTTGCCTGATTCCCAATGAATCAAAGACCCCAGGTATGAAGGCCACAGTATTACTATTTCCATAAAATGATTTACGGGAATACAAAGGAATACTGTACCTTAAACTATGACTTTCCAACTCTCAGGTCTTATGGAGAACTTCTTGGTCATCCACCAGCTGAGGTGTAACGGTGTGCTGGAGGGCATCAGAATCTGCAGAAAGGGCTTCCCCAGCAGAATCCTCTACGGTGACTTCAAGCAGAGGTGACCATGATTGTCAGTTTATGCATTACAGATTCCCCTGATTTTACTTTAAGCACTGTGATGGAGGACACCAGACAAAGAGTTACTGTATCTGATAAAGAATGTCATTTTATCCTGTAGATACAAAGTATTGAACGCCAGTGTCATCCCTGAGGGACAGTTCATTGACAACAAGAAAGCTTCAGAGAAGCTGTTGGGCTCCATTGATGTGGACCACACTCAGTACAAGTTTGGACACACAAAGGTACATGTCTAACAATAACAGTCTTAACTTTCATTATGAATTTATCCAGTTGTATCCATGTGGACAAATAACTAAGTCTGCTGACTTAACACCACAGGTGTTCTTCAAAGCTGGTCTGCTGGGTACCCTTGAGGAGATGAGAGATGACAAACTGGCTGCGCTGGTGACCATGACTCAGGCTCTCTGCAGAGGATATCAAATGAGGAAAGAGTTTGTTAAGATGATGGAGAGGAGGTAGGATTATGATACAGTTAATACAAAACTGCCAGTAAAAATACAATGTGATGTTAAATGAAAACAATATTTAGACACTAATTAGTGTTACTTTTGTAGAGATGCAATCTTCACCATCCAGTACAACGTTCGATCATTCATGAATGTGAAGAACTGGCCTTGGATGCATCTGTACTTCAAGATCAAGCCTCTTCTGAAGAGTGCTGAGACTGAGAAGGAGTTGCAGCAGATGAAGGAGAACTATGGGAAGATGCAATCAGATCTAAATGCTGCTTTGGCCAAGAAGAAGGAACTGGAGGAGAAGATGGTTTCCCTGCTGCAGGAGAAGAATGACCTGCAACTCCAAGTGGCTTCAGTAAGTAACACAGAAAATATATGTGATGTTCACTTAGCTGAAAAAATCACTACATATTAGTCTGATCTTTGTTAGTCAAATGTTTATGATGCTGTTGCATTTCTAGATTTATTATCACTATTGTTGTTGCAATTACACATAAACAATCTACTGACTATCATTTTGAGATATGTTTCAATAAAAACAATACCACACCTGTTGTTTCTGTAGGAATCTGAAAATCTCTCGGATGCTGAGGAAAGGTGTGAAGGTTTGATTAAGAGCAAGATCCAGCTCGAGGCCAAACTCAAAGAGACAACCGAGAGACTGGAGGATGAAGAGGAAATCAATGCTGAGCTGACTGCCAAGAAGAGGAAGTTGGAGGATGAATGCTCTGAGCTGAAGAAGGACATTGATGACTTGGAGCTCACCTTGGCTAAAGTGGAGAAGGAGAAACATGCCACAGAAAACAAGGTTCATTTCATTTTCACAGTGTTTTACATAGAAATATAGAAATAGAATGTTAGAGATTCAAGAGTTTTTTATTTGACACATGCTCATACAGTATGTGCAGTATCCTGTAAAGTGACTGTTCTCCAGGCTTACATTACTAAAGGACAAATCTTTAGAAAACAGAAAATTAGAAGAAGAACAAAGTCACAGTGTCATAAATAATGAGGCAGAGATCATAAACTAAAGTCCAGAGCAAATTTGCAAGAATTATACATTGTTATACTCTTTTGATTAGTTTTATGCTTAAGTGGGAATCTAAACTTTACATTTAATTTCAGGTGAAAAACCTGACAGAGGAAATGGCCTCTCAAGATGAAGCCATTGCCAAGTTGACCAAGGAGAAGAAAGCTCTCCAAGAGGCACATCAGCAAACACTGGATGACCTCCAGGCAGAGGAAGACAAAGTCAACACTCTGACCAAGGCCAAGACAAAGCTGGAACAGCAAGTGGATGATGTAAGAAAACAACTGTTTTGACTTCTTGGTTTTACCTTGTATTAATATGAATGATCTTTGGTATTGACAGTGA